AGACCACATGTTACATATCCCCCCTGGGACCCTGGGAGCCCCAGGAGGCACCAGAGAGCTCCAGGAAGACGCAGGACGCCCAGGACAGGCCCCAGGGGTCCCCAGGAGATTCCCAGGAGGCTCCCAGGAGGCCCCTATCAGAACGTGTCAAGTTAGTACACATCCGTTGTCGATTCGTTGATTTCTCCTGCTCTTGTGGCATTTTGAAGAGCCCCGACGGCCACAGGTTAGATATTCCCCCCTGGGAGCCCCAAGAGGCTTCAGGAAACCCCAGGTGGAGTTCAGGAAGCCCCAGGAGGTCCCTAGGAGGAAGCCACAGGAGGTCCCCAGGAGGCCCCAGGAGGCACGAGGAGTGGTCCGGCCCGTTTCGCCTGAGACTTCCTCGCAGCACGTTTCGCCCGAGACACCGGCCCGTTTCGCCTGAGACATCCTCGCAACTCTCAGCTCTGAGATGCCGTGCGCAAGATGGTCCAGCCCGTTTCGCACAAGACATTCTCGCAACTCTGAGCTCCCAGATGCCGCGCAAGAGGTGGTCCAGCCTGGGGGGCCAGAAGACCACATGTTACATATCCCCCCTGGGACCCTGGGAGCCCCAGGAGGCACCAGAGAGCTCCAGGAAGCCGCAGGACGCCCAGGACAGGCCCTAGGGGGGAGCAGGAGATTCCCAGGAGGCTCCCAGGAGGCCCCCTATCAGAACGTGTCAAGTTAATACACATCCGGTGTCGATTCGTTGATCTTTCCTGCTCTTGTGGTCCCCCCCCTATTTTGGGGGGCCCCGACGGCCACATGTTAGATATCCCCCTGGGAGCCCCAAGAGGCTTCAGAAAGCCCCAGGTGGGGTCCAGGAGGCCACAGGAGGCCCAGGAGGAAGCCCCAGGAGGTCTCCAGGAGGCCCCAGGACGCCCACGCAACTCTGAACTCTGAGACGCCGCGCTCGAGGTGGTCCGGCCCGTTTCGCCTGAGACTTCCTTGCAACTCTGGGCTCCGAGATGCCCTGCGCGAGGTGGTGCGGCCCATCTCGCCTGAGACATCCTGGCAACTCTGAGCTCTGAGATGCCGTGCGCAAGGTGGTCTGGCCCGTTTCGGCAAGACATTATCGCAACTCTGAGCTCCCAGATGCTGCGCAAGAGGTGGTCCAGCCTGGGGGGCCCAGAAGACCACATGTTACATATCCCCCTGGGACCCTGGGAGCCCCAGGAGGCCCCAGAGAGCTTCAGGAAGCCGCAGGACGCCCAGGACAGGCCCTAGGGGGGAGCAGGAGATTCCCAGGAGGCTCCCAGGCCCCTATCAGAACGTGTCAAGTTAATACACATCCGTTGTCGATTCGTTGATTTTTCCTGCTCTTGTGGCCCCCCCCCCCCCTTTTGGGGGGCCCCGACGGCCACATGTTAGATATCCCCCCCTGGGAGCCCCACGAGGCTTCAGAAAGCCCCAGGTAGGTTCCAGGAGGCCACAGGAGGCCCAGGAGGAAGCACCAGGAGGTCACCAGGAAGTCCCAGGAGGCCCCAGGAGGCCCCCGCAACTCGGAGCTCTGAGACGCCGCGCTCGAGGTGGTCCGGCCCGTTTCGCCTGAGACTTCCTCGCAGCACGTTTCGCCCGAGACATCGTCGCAACTCTGGGATCCGAGATGCCGCGCGCGAGGAGGACCAGCCCGTTACGCCTGAGACATCCTCGCAACTCGGGGCTCCGAGATGCCCTGCGCGAGGTGGACCGGCCCATCTCGCCTGAGACATCCTCGCAACTCTCAGCTCTGAGATGCCGTGCGCAAGGTGGTCCAGCCCGTTTCGCACAAGACATTCTCGCAACTCTGAGCTCTCAGATGCTGCGCAAGAGGTGGTCCAGCCTGGGGGCCTAGACGACCACATGTTACATATCCCCCCTGGGACCCTGGGAGCCCCAGGAGGCCCCAGAGAGCTTCAGGAGGCCGCAGGACGCCCAGGACAGGCCCCAGGGATCCGCATGAGATTCCCAGGACGCTCCCAGGAGGCCCCCTATCAGAACGTGTCAAGTTCATACACATCCGGTGTCGATTCGTTGATTTTTCTTGCTCTTGTGGCCCCCTCCCCATTTTGGGGGGCCCCGACGGCCACATGTTAGATATCCCCCCCCTGGGAGAAGAGGCTTCAGGAAGCCCCAGGTGGGTTCCAGGAGGCCACAGGAGGCCCAGGAGGAAGCACCAGGAGGTCACCAGGAGGTCCCAGGAGGCCCCAGGAGGCCCCCACAACTCGGAGCTCTGAGACGCCGCGCTCGAGGTGGTCCGGCCCGTTTCGCCTGAGACTTCCTCGCAGCACGTTTCGCCCGAGACATCGTCGCAACTCTGGGGTCCGAGATGCCGCGCGCGAGGAGGTCCAGCCCGTTACGCCTGAGACATCCTCGCAACTCTGGGCTCCGAGATGCCGTTCGGGATGAAGAGGAGGTGGAGGAGGAGGAGGAGGAGGAGGAGGAGGAGGAGGAGGAAGCAGGTTTAACATGCCATGCCAGCCCGCACTGGACGGGCACGCAATCGACCTTGGAAACCGCAGTGGGTCTAAAAACCCTGTTTGGGGATACTGCACTCCGGCTATAATTTTCAAAACTAAATCCCTGCATGTTTAATACATGATCCGCATGCGGAGCATGTATTTAAAACGGCCCTGGAGGGTTACGAGGCGCCCCCCGTGATGGTCCGAGAAGGCCCCGAGACGGCACGAGATAGAGGACAGAAAATACGCCCCGATAAGAGCCACCCCGACACGCGAGGCCTTCAGTCAACGCGCCCAGAGAAGGAATCGAGCAGGGCAGGGCTGCGTAATAAACGCCCAGGGCCATTCAGTAAACGCCATAGTCTGGTACGGGTGATTTTCCCTCCCTTGAACAAGAGCGCTCCGAAACGCAGAAGGTGGCCTAGAGATGTCTCAAGAGGCCTCCAGTGCGCCCCAGGAAAGCTCCAAGAGGCCCCTCGCCCAAGAGGCCAGAATCACTGACGCTACTGAGGCGCTTGAAAAGCGTTTCCCGCGGCCAACGTAATCCGATATCATTCGACAACATCGCACGGACACGAAACCCGTGTGTCACGGAAGAACAACGCGTAGTTGACAGGGGGCCCCTCTTGCAAGAGAGGCCGGTTCCCAGAGTCTGGCGCCGGCGACACCGCACACTCAGGAGAGGAAAAAGCACACAGACACGATTAATCCTCGATTTTCCAGAAAATATGGGAAAATATGGGAAGTGGGGGGGAAGACAGAAACCCAGAAAATATGATTAAATATAGGGAATACTTCTATTTGTGTGTATTTATTTGTGTGTCCTGGGGCCCCTTCACACACGACCGACGAGGCCTGCTGAACGCGCCTGCCCGTGTGGTCGACCCGTGCTCCCTCGCTGCCCGCAGGGACACCCGCAAATGCCCTCTGCTCGGGCCGGCTGCAGCTGCCCGCAGCGAGCCCTCGATGCCAAGAGGGAGGCGCGAGACAAAACGACGCGAAGATCGGGACAAAATCGGATCGGGATAACTCGAAATCTCTGAGAATCGGCGGGTTTGGAGGATGTATTGGGCGCCGCGGCCGCTCCAGAGCGTTCCCGAACGCTCTGAGAGCGCTCCGGAACGCTCTGGAGCGATTTATCCCGATCCTAGCCCTGTTTTGATGCCAAGAGGGAGGCGCGAGAGCGCCTGCGAGACCTGCAGCACGGTGCCGTTGTCCGGCTTCAGGCTCTTCGCCCCCCGGCCGTCGTTGACTTTGAAGAAGGACCTGGGCGCACGGCACGCGAGCAGGAGGGCTGGGATGAGCCCCACGAGGCGGACGACAAGAACGAGGAGGGGTGATGAGGCGGAGTGCAGTGGACACCCATGCCAAGAAACACGCTGCTTGCCTCCAGTGTGCTCTGGGCCACTTGGGCTTCCATGGTCTTGCGGTGGAAAGTGTGACGCTCCTACGCCCAAAGTCGATGGACGTCATGGGGTCTCAGGGCTGGGATTCTCTTGGAGGGCTTCTGGTGGTCAAGCTCCTACTGCAAGATGAGTGAAGTCGAAACGTTGCCGCAAGAGTCGTGCTCAGGTGAACTGCGTGGATTAGGAGCGAGGACGAAAAACGAGGGAGGAGAGAGAAGGAGAAACGAGGACGAGGACGAGGAAGGAGGAGGGAGGACGAGGACGAGGGCGACGAGAACGAGGAAGACCCATGTGATGGCCGACGCAGCACCAAACTCGGCCTGCACTGTAGAGGGCGAGACGGAGGAGCGCCGCACCAGCTCGAGGGGCGTGGGATGAGAACCCGAAAAGGGCGAACCCCTCACGAGGTCGACCCCGCCCGCATGTATGAGCAGGTGGAGGATGACGAAGAATACGACGCAGACGAGGGACGCCATGGCAAACACAACATCCAACTTAATCGGCATGGAGGAGGAGCAGGAGGATGGAACTGGAAGTGGAAGCAATGAAACTCAGGTGGCCGATCCCTGAAACCCAAACTGTTTTTTCCCAACCGATCGCCTCACGGATGATCTAGGCAGAAGGGACAGTCCAAGGGCAACTACTCGGTGAGCAGCTCAACTTGGCAACCTGCTAGACATGCGCCAGTTCCCCCGAGGCAGGCAGGCAACAGCCGCGCCCTGACGGCGCATCGGCATAAATAACATGCTGAAGACATGCCTGGACAAACAAACATACAACGGGGAACGAGCGCCGGAGCCTTTGCCCCGGAGCCTCGCGAGGAAGGCTGCATCTGCACTAGAGGAAAGGGGAGGGCAGAGCAGGGAGGGAGGGAGGGGACGCGGGGGGGGGGAGGGGAGAAACAATCGACAACATTCTTCCACTATCGCGCTACAGTTTCCCCGCGGGGGAGGAAATGTTATCCGCTCCAGAACTGCTGCTCTTGTGCCCCGTCCAGAGAATAAGGGGAACATCGCCCATGTAATCGATAAACTCGTCGTAGTTGGGCTGCACAGTGGCGCCGTTACCGTCGATGATTTTGACGAGATCGTAGCCACCAAAGTCCAAGCACTGACAACCGCCGATTCCCCAC